GGGGAGTGAATCTGCAAATAAAAATCTTTCTGTCTCTCCTTCTCTCTGTAAATTTGACTTTCCAGTTTAAATTTTTTATTAAATAAATCTTTTCTAAAAAGCATAAATTTGGGCCCAGCAAGGTGGCCTAGAGGCTGAAATTCTCACCTTGAATGCGCCACGATCCCATATTGGTACCAGTTCTAATCCCGACAGCTCCACTTCCCATCCAGCTCCCTGCCTGTGGCCTGGGAAAGCAGTCGAGGACGGCCCAAAGCCTTGGGATCTTGCACCCATGTGGGAGACCCGGAAGAAACTCCTGTCTCCTGGCTTCGGATTGGCTTAGCACCAGCTGTTGTGGTCACTTGGGGAGTGAATCATCAGATGGAAAATCTTCCTCTTTGTCTTTCCTCCTTTCTGTATATCTGACTTTGTAATAAAAATAAATAAATCTTTTTAAAAAGTCTATTTAAAAAGCATAATTTTATCTGGGAACCATGCTTACTTTTTCATAATATTCATTTTCTGTGTATTACAAAAATTTGTATCAAAAAAATTTAGCACCAAAATAAATTCACCTGGGATTGTGTGAACTGGGGTCAACACTGTGCCTTAGCGGGTACAGCTGCCACGCGGCACCAATAGCCCACAGGACACTGTTCCGAGTCCTGGCGGCTGCACTTCACCAGCTCTGCTGGTGCCAGGGGCATGCCATCTGCTTCTGCTTGAACTTTGCCAACACAGGGCTTGCAGGTCCCAAGGAGCCCCCATCAGGCCTGCTGGGCAGCAAGGGGCACCAGGGTGTGTAGATGCCAGCGGGAAGCAGGGTTCCCTCCCCTGTCCGGGCCCCAGGTGGTCTCCCTTGCGCCCGCAGGACACAGCCCTGGACAGCCTTGCAGCGTCCTTGCCTACTCCTGCAGCACCTGGAGCCCTGGCCTGGGACTCAGCGGCCATGCCATCGGTGCTGGTAGGCCTGGGAGCATGCAGCCAGGAACAGACGGGACAGTAGCCTGGATCAGAAGTGTGTGGGGTGCAGAAGTCCCCATAGGCAACAGGACAGTGGGTTCAGGGGTCACCTTGTTGACAGCAACCCAATGCCTGTGGCCTGCTGGGACCGAGCAGAGCACAGGACGGAAAACTCTCTCTGTAAGTCCGACTTTCATTAAGTCAATCATTAAAATTAATTAATTACAGTGAGAGCATTCATATATCACGGCTGGACAGAGAGTCCAGGGGCCCTAGCCCCTTCGCGGGCAGTAGACCCTTAGCAACCTGCAGCCACAATGGGAGGAAGGTCCAGCAGTGACAGCCTGGCAGAGCCAGTCCCTGCGGTCACCCCATGGTCAGGCTCACTGCTGATGGAGACGCAGCCCCTGCCAGCTCGGCTTGGGACAGCCGGAACCCCGGAGGCCACTGCGGCAGGCCCAGTGCTGGGCGCAGCCCCACGGCCTCCCCTCCAAGGACAGCCTGAGAGCTCGCTGTCCCCGGCCGAGGATGTGCAGTGAACTCCGGCTCTGGCAGGGTCTGCACCTGCCAGCTGTGTGTCACCTGCCAGGCAGGGATGTGTACACGCAGTGGAGCCACGGAGCCACGGGTGGACCCCCCACTTGTTCACATGCTGCGGCTCATTAATGTTGAGAGGTTTTGAAAGACAAATGTATGTGTTTGAAAGGCAGAGAAAGAGAGAGATCTTCCATCAGCTGGTTCACTCCCAGTGGCCACAATGGCTGCATAGGGCTACAGCCAGGAGCCAGGGGCACCGTTCAGGTCTCCCGTGTGGGTGCAGGGCCCAAAGAACTCGGGCCACTGCTTTCCCAGGCGCAGCAGGGAGATGGGTGGGAAGTGGAGCAGCCAGGACTTGGACCAGCGCCCATGTGGGATGCTGGCGCCACAGGCGGTTGCGTGCTCACTTGTATCTTAACCTTGTCTTCGTGGTTGCTGTTGGTGGCCCCCGCGAGCCCTGCAGGCAGTATTGCCTGTCAGCATCCATGGCTGGAAGGAATCAGGACACAAGGATGGCACCCACCCCTTACTGACAGTGACAGAGCTGTGGAGACCAGGAGACCAGGAAGGGGGCACAGGTCGGCCTGGGTGATGCCACGGTAACGGAGTGCACACTGCCACACAGGTGCCGAACCACACGGAGGTTCACGGACACAGAGCTCCCTGGTGCAGGCTGTGGGCTCGCGGGCAGGTGCTGGCCTGGCACGGCCACCTCCCACACCCCAGCACCTGCTTAGGGGTCCCGCTCCCCCACTTCCTGCCTGCTGGGGTGTGTCAAGAACTTGGGTTCCTGTGCCTCGCGTGGGAGACCCTGCTGCAGCTGCCAGCTTCACGCTAACCCTAACCCTAACCAGCAGCAGGAAGCTCTCTCTTAGTCTGCTATTCAAATACAATAAAAATAACTGAACCTTTAAAATATGCTAAGCTCGTGCTTTGGTTAATAAGAATGTATCAGGCATGGGTGTGGGCTCTGAAGTTGAGACATAGCGATAAAATGGCACCCACAATGCCAGCATCCCATTTGGGCACTGGTTCGAGTCTTGGCTGCCCAACCTCCCCACTCCCCGCTGATCTTCCTGGGACAGCAGCAAGGGGTGACAAGTACTGGGGCCCCTGCACCGTTGGGGGAGACCCTGATGGAGGTCCTGGCTCTGGACCAATCCAGTTCCAACCCTTATAGCCAATGAGTGAGTCAACTGGAGGGTAGAAGACCTTTTCTCTAATAATCTCTCTCTCTAACTCTTTCAAATAAATAAATGAGGCCCAGCGAGATAGCATAATGGTTAAGGTCCTTGCCTTGGACGAGTCCAGGCCCCGTATGGGCGCCACTTCTAATCCCGGCTGCTCCACTTCCCACCCAGCTCCCTGCTTGTGGCCTAGAAAAGCAGTCGAGGACGGCCCAAAGCCTTGGGACCCTGCGCCCGCATGGGAGACCTGGAACAAGTTCCTGGTTCCTGGCTTCAGATTGCTGCAGCACCGGCTGTTGCCCCTTGGGGAGTGAATCATCAGACGGAAGATCTTCCTCTCTGTCTCTTCTCCTCTCTGTACATCTGCCTTTCCAATAAAATAAATAAATCTTTAAAAAAAAAAAGGGGGGGGGCTCTAGCATGGTGGCACAGCAAGTTGAGCCTGCTCCCTGCCAATGGCCTGGGACAGTGGTGCGGTCTGCCAAGTGCTGAGGCCCCTGCAGCCACGGGGGCCGACCCCAACGTAGTGCCTGGTTTCAGCCCAGCCCAACCTTACCTCCACCCCTGGCCAGCTGTTGCAGCCATTTGGGGAGTGAACCAGCAGATGGAAGATCTCTCTTTCTCTCTCTCTCCTCTGTAAATCTGACTTTCAAATAAAACAACTCTTTTAAAAGGGGATTTATTTATTTGAAAGGCAGAATGACAGAGAAGGAGAGAGATAGTCCATGTGCTGGTTCACTCCCCAGATGGTTGCAGCAGCCGGAGCGGAGCCAGGCTGGAGCCAGCAGCTTCCTCGGGCTCTCTCATGTGGGTACGGGGGCCCAAGCACCCGGGCCGTCTGTGATGCTCTGCCAGAGGCCGGACCAGAGGTGGAGCAGGAGGCACTGGCTCGGGCACTGCATGGATGCTTGCATGGCAGGCAGAGGCTTAGCTCCCGAGCCAAAGCCAATGTCAGGGACGAGCCAGGGCTGTGGCATGGCAGCGCTGGGCTGCCCCTGGCCAGGACTTCTCCAGCAAGTGGCCGAGACCCACCCCCCACCCCGAGCCCATGTGTAATGTAGGTACCTGGGCTTCTCAGAGCACGGGGTTCAATGATGCCTCCCACCCCCCACCCAAGGTCCTGCTGCCTGGGACATGGCCTGGTCCACTCAGGCTCCTGGAATGCTGGCCGACGGCTGCCTCCACCTGGAAGGCCTCTGCCCCGCCAGCCCCTCCCCCCACCCTGCTCCTCTGGTCCCACGCGGCTGCCCCCTGCCCACCAGGCTCAGGCAGACACCAGAAATGACTAAGAAAGAGAGCAAGGAAGGCGGGCACAGCAGGCTCGCCCCCAAAGGCTCTCTGACATGCAATAACGTGGCTCCCACCCGCCACCCTGAGACTGTCCCGTGGTGACGTCCAGCTCCAGGCCTGACCCACTGAGATCCAGCAGGGGACAGAGCGACATGTGTGCCTAAACCCCCCACTCCAGGTGTCTCCAGCAAGAAACAAGCTGGCATCACCTGTACCCCATGTTGCCTTCAACCAAGCCAGCTGGCCCCAGGCCCCCGGAACGGGGGTGGGCAGCAGAGCTGGCCGTGGTGGCCTTGCCGCAGGGGTGTGTGGATCTGGAGGTCCCGCCCTCCTGGATTCTGTCACCTTCCACCCGCCCCCACCCAGCATCAGACAGGCACCCCAGGCTTGTGGCACCCGTGGCAGGAGGAGGACTCTGCTGGGCACGTGGGTGGACATGGGGCACTATTGGCCTCACTGCCCATTTGCTTTCAAGCCCAAGGCAGCTGGGTTGCCACTGTCGGTGAGGGGGTCAGAGAGCCTCTCGGAGCCTGGGCACATGTGTGGGGTGGGGGGCGGTGAGCTCCTGGCATCCTGGCAGGTCTACCCACCTTGCCAGTGACTGGCGTGGGCCGCAGAGGGCCGGTGAGCAACCCTGCCCTGGGCCAAGGTTCCAGGACCCCCCCAACTTCTGATCTTCGCTGCCCCCCGCCACCCTTTCTGTTGTAAACCACAATGCCCTGGGGTCTCTGGGCTTTTTTCTTTTTTCCTGAAACTCTGCTTTTTTGAATCGAAGGGAAAGTTTGAAGCCAGCAGGCTGTTGGGCCCAACCTATGGAGCCCGGGACACGTGGTGGAGGGCTCTGGGGACTTAGCCCCCAGTCTCCAACTGCTTTCCTGAGCTGGAGCCCCCTGCCCACCCAGGCCACCCCGCCCCTTTACGCCCACCCCGGGAGACTGGGACCCTTGCAGCAGTGGGGGAGGGTGCGGTGAACGTGGCAGCCTCCGTGAGGAGGGTGGGTGCAGGGTGCGAAGTGAGGGAATTAACACGCGGGACGCGGAGTTGCAGCATTTTCGGCCTCTTTTATTTAGAACCCGGCGGAGGAGCAGCCGGGGCAGTGGTACAGACGGCTCAGGAACCATTTTTTTTTTTTTTTTAACAAAACAGATTTGTCTTCAAGTTCAAAATCAAAATAATGCACAGACAGCGACAGCGCGGAGACTGCAAGCTTTAACTAGGACGGCGGTACGGCAGCTACCCTCAGCAACGACGCTCCCCAGAGCCCACTACAAAAATAGATGTGCTTTTCTCAATAACCGGATGCAGGTGGGATTCAGGCTTTGGCATAACCAATCACAGGGTGGCGTGGTGCAGCGTTTCCACGCCCGGACATAAATACAACATATAAGTTAGTATAGCTTTGTTTTTTTTTTTAATTTTTTGTACAAATATACATGGGTTAATTTTGATTTTTCTCTTTCGATGCACTGAGTCTCAGCAGAGGTTACACATTCCACATAAGTGACTCTTTAAAGCTTCACACCTTGGGAACCCGCGCACTTCTCGCACAGGACACGTGCAGGTAGGTTACGCGCGCCCGATCATTGCACAGTCTCCGGGGTGGACCGCGACACGCCCTGCGGCGGTCGCTGTCTGTCGCTGCTACATGTGCGGTCCCAGCCGAGGCCCCGTGCTCCTCCCGTCTGCTGCCCCCACCAATGCCCCTGGGCTCTTTGGGCTCCAAACTGCGGGGAAGAGGAGGGGGCAGTGAGCGCGGGGCGCCGCGGGGAGGGAACCCCGCAGGGGCGCGGGGCGCGGCGGGCGGGGACTCACCTAGCTCATCTCAGGCGCTTGCGCGGGGTCTGCTCGGGCGCGCCCAGGCCGGGCGCGGCGCTGGGAGCGGGGCAGCCGGCGGGGCCGTCGCCGGGCGCCTTGCTGTCGGGCGCGGAGCGTTTGCGCTTGGCGAAGAAGTCTGCGGGCGACAAGCGCGCGCGGCGAGTCAGGGCGTGGCGGCGGCGGCGCGGCCCGGGGGCCGCGGGAGGGGATCGGGGCGCCGTCCCCGCCCGCGCGAGGTCCGCGGCGGGTCAGCTTTGTTTACGTCGCCGCGCGAAGTGCTGTGTAAGCACTCGGCCCTGTCCCGCGGCCAAGCCCCCCGGGGACGCCGCCGCCGCCGCCGCCACCGCCACCGCCACCGCCACCGCCACCGCCGCCACCGCCGCTGCCGCCGCTGCCACCGCCGCGCTTAACCCCCTGCGCGCCGCACCCGGAGAGGGGGCTCCCGCGGCCCCGCGCGCCCCCCGCGCGCTCCCAGGAGGAGGAGAGCGCGAGGGGGACGCGCGGGGCCGCGGCGCGCGCCCCTCCCACCCCATCCCCGGCCCCCCCGCCCTCCCGAGCCCCTGGGGGAGCCACGTTGCGGGCGGACAGGGGCGGCGGGCGCAGCGGGCCCTTTAACGCCACGGGAGGAGGCGGGGACCGCGCGAGGCCCCCCGAGGGCTGGGGAGGCCGGCCGGCCGGACAAAGCGGGGCCGGGCCGGGCCGGGCCGGGGCGGGGCCGTGCGGGGCTCACCGGAGATGAGAGGCCCGGACAGCTTCTTGGTGGCCGCACCGTTGGCGCCCGCAGTAGCGGAGCCGGCCGCGGGGCGTCCAGACATCCCGGAGTTGAGCTGCTCCGCGAGGGCCTCCTGCGCCTCGATCGCGCCCTGCTCGGCGCCGTCTTGCGGTGCCTCGTCGGCATCCGGATCGGAGACCGGGTCCGGGTCCGGGACCGGGTCGGCTGCTGCGGCCGGGGCCGGCGGGGCCGGCGGAGCTGGGGCCGGCGGGGCCGGCGGCGGAGTGGCCGCCCGGGCCGGGGCCGGGTCGTTGGGCGGCTGCTCCGGCGGCTCCTCGAGGTCGTCGAGGAACTGGGCGTCCCGCGGTTCGGGAGGCGGGATGACAGCCACGGCGACCGGGGGGGCGGGTCGGGTCGCCACGAGCAGGCGACAGCGCCCCACCTGCACGGTCTCGCGGTAGAAGGCGGGCACCGACTCGCTGTCCACCTCCATCCACTGCAGACGTCCGGGACCACGCAGAGGCACATCCTGCTGGAAGTTGAAGTCCCAGCGGTTCTGGTCCTCGGCGCTCAGCTCGGCGAGGCGCATCCGCAGCTCGCGGCCCAGCTCCTCGTGGTCCACCGGCCCGAAGAGGCTGCGGCAGGCGCTGGTGCGCACCAGCATCGGGAAGGTTCCACGGGCCACCATGCGTTCCATGGCTAAAATGCTGCGGAGAGACACACGTCGGGCGTGACCCGGGGTGCGGACTTTGGTGTGTGTGTGTGTGTGTGTGTGTGTGTGTGTGTGTTGGGGGGGGACCCCGCAGCAGAAGGGCAGGCGCTGGGCGCCAGGGAGACCCCGGGCTAGGCAGGACCACGCGGGGACGTGGGCTACCTGTGGGTCGCGTCGCGCGCCGTTCCTGCGTCCAACTGGCTGGCTTCGTCCGAGTGGCAACCGCGCCCCCTCGGTGCTGGCTCGCTGGTTCGCTCGCTCGCTCGCCCAAGCCTGGCCTGCACCCTCAAGCACAGAGCTCTCGGCCTGTGGCTCGCGGGGGCCGCCCGCGCCCCCTTTATACGCGCCGGCCCCACCCCCGCGCGCGCGGGCCCCGCCGCGATTAGCATAATGTAGTATTTTCAGTGCCGACAACACCGTGCCCATTGGCCCTCGCCGCGGCCCGGCCCCCGCGCACCGCCCACTGGCCGCGCGCACACACCCACGGGGGGGCGGGAGTTAAAGGGCGCCGCGGGCGGTAACGCGACACCGCGGCGCCCCGCCCCCTCGCCCCATCCCCCCGCGCCCGCCCCCCGCCGGCTCCTTTGTCTGCAGGCGGGGGCTGCGCCGAGGCGGCGGGTGCCCCCCGCGGCCGGCCGGACCCGCGCGCCCGGCCCTGCCGCCCGGCCCTGCCAGCTGCCCGCGGCCGAGCGGCACGGGGGGCTCGTCGAAGTCCACGCGCACCTGCGGGGCCTCGGGCCCGCGGAGCGCCGGAGGGACGAGGGACCGCGCGCCATGTGGCCAGCTCCTCCGGGGCCAGCCCCGGACCCGCGATCTGGGGGCACCCACCCCGCGCGGTGCCCGCGATCCGCGCTGACCCGCTCGCGTCCCGGGCCAGGTGTCCAGCACCGCCTCGGACTGCCCACCCCTCCCGCTCCTGCTCCCGCCAACACGGGGTGACCCCGGCCGGACCCAAGCAGAGGACACTTCCTGGTGCTCTCTTTGGGCCCCAGTGCGCCCCCCCCCATCTCTCCCCACCCCCGCAAGAGCCGGGAGCCTCCGGGCACCTGTTGGAAGGTCCCCGAGCTCCCAGCCCCAAGGCGAGGCAGTCCGGTCCTGCCGCCCCCTCCCCTGCCCACACCGGGGTCAGGTGGTCTCTCGGTGTACATCAGCGAGGGTCTGCAGCCACTTGGTACCTTTGCCTACCTGCGCACAGATTCCCCAAGTCCCTGTGGTCAGGAGCCGCCCACAGCCTCCCAGGTCCCCCTCCCCCCAGCGCCCCTCTGAGCAGGGCTGGGGTCAGCCCCCTCCCCCCGCCAAGGCCACGGCAGCCTCCCCAGGGGCCGTGACCACTGGGCCGTGCCTCGGACCGACCCTGGGCTCAGCCGCGTGCACCCCTCCCCAGCCCCCAGGCCAGGCCAGGCCCCACCGTGCAGGGGAGACGGGCGGCAGGTGTGCATGGGGGAGGGGGGTCGCTGCCTGGCCCCCTCCCTGCCACGTGTCCACCTGGCCCAGCCTCACGGCAGGCAGTCCAGGTACCCCGCTGAGGTCCCCTGTCCCGGCTTGGTGGGGAGAAGGCGAGGAGCGGCGTTCTCTGGGTCCCCTCGGGCATGACAGCGGCTGGCCAAGGGCGCCCGTCGGGAAGGACACCCCTGGAGCGTGGGGGGCGCCCACCCTGCACCCCAGGGAGCCAGGGAACTCGCGGGGAACGTCTGTGTGCGTACAACAAGCAGACCTACTTTGTCACTAAAAGTGTGTTGGAGAGAGAAAAGCCTGCGAGGCAACAGTGTTTGCACGCGCGTCGTCCCCAGCTGCAGAGGGGCGCAGCCCTCCCCCAGCCCCGGGCCAGGGCCGCGGCGGATGTGCCCCCTGCCTGCCCGGGACGGGGCCCCGGGGTCCTCCGCGTGGACTGCAGGGGCTGAGCCTGGCCAGCGGGGCCAGGGCGAGCCTCCCCCCACTCCCCACGCACACAGGAAGGCTGCAGCCCCGGTCCACCCCGGCGAGGCCACGCGGCCGCTGCTCGGATGCCAGCGCGGCCGTCCGGCTGCTGGCCGGTCCTTCCGCGCCCTCTGCTGGCCACGGGCACCGGCCGCGGCCCCGGCGACGTGGGCGCGGGGGGCGAGAGCGGGGGGCGAGAGCGCGGGGCCGCGCGGAGGGCTGCCCCCCGCGCCCAGCCCGCCGGGGAGCCGCGCCCCTGCGCCCGGCCGCCGTGCGGGGCCCGCGCGCTCCTGCGGTGGGCGCCGGGCGCGGAGCCGACAGCCGGGGGTGGGGGGCCGGCGCCGCCCCCTCCCGCGCCCGAGGCCCCCCGGAGGCGGAGGAACCGGGGGCTCTGGCCTGGGGTGGGGGGGACGAGGCTGAGAACCGGCCCCTCCTCACTCCGTCCAGGGGTCCGAGCGAGTGTCCTCCAAGAAATCCAGGCCTTCCGGACTTATCCATGCAGCCACAGCCACGTGTCAGCGCTCCGTCAGGCCCCAGATTAAGGCGAGGCGCCCTTCCCGGAGCCCCCCGGGGCGGCCCAGGGCCGGCCGAGACCCCCGGCACCCCGGCGCCAGCTGCCTCCCGGCTGGCCCCTGCGCCCCCGCCCCGGGCAGCCCTCCCCACAGCCAGGGCCTTTCCGGGCTCCCTTCGCGTGGACGGGGCGCGGGCTGGGCCCACCCCCTGCTCCGCCAGCCTGCACCCAGCCCCCCGCTTCCAGGATCCCAGGCCGACCTCGCGACCGCCAAGGGGCCCCGCTCCCCCGGCACATCCCGCCCGCTGCCCGGCGCGATGCGGGGCGTGGGGGAGCCGCCCGCGGCCTGGGGAGCGCGGCGCCTCGCCCTTGGCGCGCGCCCAGCCCCGGCGCCGCGCGGAGACCCTCCCGCACCCGTTCCCGCGCTCGGCGCGCCCCGCCCCGGGCCCGGCTGCTCGCGGGGCGCCTGCCAGGTGCCGGCCTCCCTCCGGTGACGCGGCCGCGAGCCGCCCGGGCTCCGATTACAGGGGCTGCCTTGTGCTCGGCGGGCCGGGGGTCCTCGCTCCGCGCCCGGGGGCGGGCGGGGAGGGCGCGGGGGGCGGCGTGCCCCGCCTGCACCCAGGAATCCGGGACACTTCGGGGGGAGCCCCCTCCGGGCTGCGGAGGGGTCGCCCGGTCCCGGGCCGCCAGCAGCCCCCTCTCTGGCCAGCCGCAGTGGGGACCCCCGCCCAGGGCTCACCTTGCCCGGGAGTGGCAAGGGGAGGCGTCTGGGTGGGCAGGTGCCCCTCCCCCGTCCCCGAGGCCGCCGCGTCCCCACCCTGCTGGCCGTGGCGCCTGGCCAGAGCCTCGGGGAAGGCCACGGTCGGCCCCAAGGTCGGCGGGGCAGGGGCTGCAAGCCCCCCGCCCCAGCCCGCCAGGAACCCCTGGCCCGAAGCCCCCAGCCCTCCCGGGCAGGGGGCCCCCCGAGCCCGCCCTGGGGACTGCTGGCGCCTGCCACGTGGTGTGACGTGTCCTGTGCGTGTCCGTGCGGCGCACGAGGCGCAGGGAGGCCGGCAGGCTGCTCGCGGGGCCCCACACACGGGGAGGGGGCTGGGGCAGCGCAGCGGCTGCCAGGCCTGGACTGGAAGGGGGCCAGGGAGCTGGTCACGCTGGGGTCACCGGCCCCCTCCCCAGGAGGCGGCAGCGGCGGCAGGGCCCCAGCGCGGGCGGCGCCCCCCGTTCGCCCTCCCTAAGACCCCTTTCTGGGCCCCACGCTGCCCCAGTACGTGTCCGGCAGCTGGGGCTCCCCTCCCCCTTGCGCTGGGGCCCCGCTGGGGCCTGGGGGCTCCATCTAGCTGGGAGGGCTTCCAGCACCAAAGCTGGACGCTTGCTGCCCCCTGGTGTCCGCAGGCGGCGCGCACGGCTGCCCGCCACGTCCACCAGCTGCGGGCCGGGGGCCGGGGGGCTGGGGCCGGGGGGCCAGGCCTCACCCTCCTCAACACCCCTGGCTGCGCCCACTCGAGCGAGACGAGCGGCGCCCCTCTCTCCCCAGGGCAGGGGGAATGGGGACAGCGGGCCCCTTCCCGCACACCCCGCCCTCTCCCCTTCTGGGGTCCCTCGCCCTCCTCCCCTCCCTTCCCTCCAGCTCCCCAGTCTGGGCTGCTGTCCACAGCCCCAAGGCCGCAGCCGGCCCCGCCACGCTGCCTCTCCCGGGCCTCAAAGGCAGCCATGGTGCCGGCCGTGTCCGGGCCTGACCGCAGCCGACAGACGTGGCAGCCGGGCCGCTGGGGAGGGGGCTGGCTCTCCCCGACCCTGCTGCACGGCCTGCCTGCTGCCAGCAGCGAGGACCGAGGGCAGGGCACGGCCTGCACGCTCCAGCGGGGAGCTGGTGAGGCCTGGGCCCGTCCCCTCCCAGGCCTCGCCAGCCGGCTGGCAAGAACAGCCCTGGAGGCCGTGCCCACCTCTCTACACCGTGCCCAGCTCGCTCCTGATCGGGCTCGGGGGCCGCAGGTCACGGCCAGAAGCCCCTCCCCCCATATCACCAGGAAAGCCGGGCATCGGCCAGCTGGGCAGCTGAGAGTCCAGCAAGGCTGCCCTGCCCAGCTCTGCCGAGGGGGCGCCACCCATGTCCCGTCCCCACCTGTGCTATTATTAACAGGCAGGAGTCAGTGCCCTGCCCATTCCACAGATGGAAAAGCTGAGATCTGGGAGGGCAAGATCCTGCCAAGAGCAAGTGGTGTGGAGACGGCAGCTGGGGAGTGGCTCCCAGACCAGGGCCCCCGCCCAGCTCCAGCCACACTGCCCGCACGTGTGGCTCCTGGCCCGCCTCGAGGCAGCCGCAGGATCCACGCCTCAGTCCAGATCCCTCTGCTCCATAGCCAGGGTCCAGAGGCCGGGCTCCCACACAGCTGCCCCACCGGGTGAGGCTCCAGGGGAGCCCCGCTGGTCAGGGGCCCCCAAGAGCAGGGCCCCAGCTCCCCCTGGGGGCGCCCCTCGGCTGGGACTGTCGGAACCGCGTGCTGGGCTGCGCCCGGGGGTCCCTGGACTGCTCTGGGCCAGCAGAGCCTCCTCCAGACAGGACCACACTGTGACCCCCAGCTCTACCTGCACTCCAGGCAGCTGGCGCTGACCAGGGCCACCCCTGCCCGTCCGCCTCCAGACTCCCAGCCTGACTCCGACCCCAGGAACCCGAGCAATGTCCCAGAAGGTTCCTGAGCACCGGCCGGCTGGCCCGGACACGCGGGCAGCTCCTGTAGAGGTCCAGTGGACTGTGGGGGTGTCCAGCGGGAGGGAACAGAGCAGGCACACACACGCTGTGGCCGAGGGTGGGGCCATCAGTTCTGGGGTGGTTCCTGGCCCGACTGCCACAGAGGAACCCTTGAAGCTGAGTCCACATGGTGCCACCCGCCCATGCCGTGCCCCTGGCCCACACCGTGCCACCAGCCCACACCATGCCACCCACCCATGCTGTGCCCCTGGCCCATGCAGGGCCACCCACCCACGCCGTGCCCCTGGCCCACACCTTGCCCCCGGCCCATGCCATGCCACTCGCCCACACCATGCCCTTAGGCCACGCTGTGCCCCTGGACCACACTGTGCCCCCGGCCCATGCCGTGCTCCTGTCCACACCACCCGCCCCCGCCATGCCCCCAGCCCACGCCGTGGCCCCAGCCCACGCCGTGCCCCCAGTCCACGCCATGCCCCCAGTCCACGCCGTGCCCCCAGCTCTGCCAGCCCTGGGTCTGAGCGTTCTGTGAGCTCGGGGCGCCATCTGCTGACCAAGGCCTGAAACTGCAGCCACCTTGGCCAGGCCTGGTGGGCAAGGCCAGGGCGGTGGGCAAGGCCAGGGCAGTGGCCAGCAGAGGTCATGGTCATCGCTGGCCAGCGGAGGCAGGGTCGTGGAAAGGGGCTGGCAGGAAGGGGGCCCCCAGTGGGCCTGCAGCTGACTCCTGGGCGTCCGCAGTGAGGCTCCAGCGACTTGGGGAACTCTGGGGTGGTCACGGGGACCTGCGCCTCCAGTGTGACCCTCCGCAACCCAGGGGCCCCCACGGCCGGAGGCCTGGCCAGCTGTCCTCTCCCCTGTCGGAGCTCTCCACATCTCGAAATTGCCCACAGGTCCATCAGACACCTCCCAGCCAGAAGAGCCCGGTCACCCCAGCTTCCCTCAGCTGTCTCCCCCCTCCTCGCGTGACCTCACCCAGGACCAGCCCTGCAAGGACTGTCAGCAGGTCACGCACCCCGTGGGACCCCAGCCCCACAGCCCGCGGCCGGCTCAGTCAGGGCTGGAGAGAGTGTGCCCCAGGTGCCCGGTGCCAGCAGCCGCACCTGCACTATAACCCAAGCTTCCAAAGGGCATGGGCACCTGGCACGTCGCCCGCAGCACCGGGTGCCTCTCTGCTGACCTGTGTCCAGGTCCACCCGGTGGCCCTAGCGAGGAAGGGGGTGTCTCCTGTGTCTTCCTCCCCCCACCAGGCCTGGCCAGTGACCGTGGCCCACAGTCCCTGCAGTCCCAGGCCTCTCCTCCTGCCCCCACCTGCCCTCGAGGCCAGTTTCCCACACTGCCTCGGGACCAGGAAGCGTCCCTGGCAGCTGGGCGCCCAGGCTGGGCGTGACTGTCCCGCAGCCACAGGACGGGTGAGTACCGGCCCTCCCCACCAGGCCCCCCACCTGCTCCCCCATCCTGGCGTTCCAGGGCTCTCAGCCGTCTCCATTGAGAGGGGAGGAGGCTGCTGGGAGCCCCAGTTCCTGGCCAGACCTCCGCACTCCACCAGCCTGTCGCCTGGACACCCCGAGGGTGAGCTGCCCCATGGGGCATGCCGCCCAGGCGTGCTGGCTCCTGCCCGGGTCCCACATCTCCCCGAGGCCGGCCCTGTCGGGCGCGCCCTGGCTGGACCCGCCCCTGCTGGGCGGAGATGGGAGGGTTGCGCCCTCCAGGGCCGAGCTCTGGCCCTGCCCCTCGGGGTGATGGGGCGGGCCTGGGTCCCTCCGCTGCCCTGGACGGACAGTCGCGCGGCTCGGGGTCCGCGCTCCGGCCCCAGAGTCCCAGGCTGCACGCAGAGGAGGCTAGCGGGGCCAGGCCCGGCCCAGGAGCAGGCGGACGGCGGGGTGCGGGCGTCCCCGGACCGGGCGGGGCTGCGCCTGGGGCGGGGCGCGCCCGGGCCGTCCCTCACCCGGAGGTTGGTTCCCCGAGCCGCCTGCTGCCCTCGGGCCGCGCGGGCCACGCAAGGGCGCATTCGGCCCCAGCGCCTTCGCAGATCCGGGCCCTGCGCCTGCCCGGGCAGCGCAGCCCCCAGTGTCCCCAGGTGAGGCAGGAGCTGCTGCCACCCATGGCCCCTCCCACCTAGCCACCCAGGGCACCTGCCTCCCCTGGCACCTGCCCCAGGCCACGCGGTGGCCGGGGGAGCTGAGGGTGGGCTCCCCCGGCCCCTGCCGCGTGCACCTCCCCAGCCGGGCTCCAGCGGGCCACGCAGGGCAGGACCAAGCACCTGCGGGGGGTGACTCAGCCTGGCACCCAAACCGACAGGACTTTGCCCCCTGCTTGCTGCCGAATCCTGCGGCCTCCACGGCGCCCTCCCGGGACTCCCGGCCCCCAGCCCGCCGGTCCAGCATGTCGAGAGGCGCTCGGAGTGCGGGCCAGCCCCCGGGCAGGCCGGGCGTCATGCTGCTGACCTACCTGCTCACCACCCTGGACTTCACCTGCCTCTTCATGCAGTTCTCCATCTTGCCTGTGAGTACCCCTCCTTCGCCGCCATGGGGTCCCCCCGCCAGGGGTCCCTGCTTGCGCCTGAGCTGAAGGAGGCAGGGACCCCCGACGGCCCCGCCCCCTCCAGCTGTCCTGCACTCCTCGGGCCTGCGTGGAGGCCTTTGCCCTGCTTCTGGTCCGGGCGGGGTCCAGGTCAGCCCTGCAGAGGCCTGCCCCTTACCCGCCCGTCACATGCTCACTCCTGCCCCTCCGTGCCCACTGACCGCCCACACTGGGCATCTCGGGCCCCCACAGAACTGTGCGAGGTTGGGCATGCCACCCAACCTGGCCCTGGCCACGCAGGCTGCCCAGCACACAGCCATGCTTGCTGTGTGGTCTGGGCCAACCCGGGCTCCCAGAGGGTCCTGGGGTGGCCGACGGGAGCGGTTGGCCATGCGAGCCACTGTGCAGACGGGCTTCTTGTCTGGGGCGCTCGGCAGCACCAACACGGTGGCCCTTGGAGGCCAGGTGCTGCTGCCACACCGCAGGTCATCGGCTGGCCCGCATGTGCCCACCCCCAGGCTCAGCTGGCACCCGCTCTTGCCCTGCTCTGCCCTGCCTCCCAGCCTGGGCCTGGGGGTCGCAATGGCCATGGGTGGCACCTGGTGAGCCCTCCTCCCCGCCCACCAGGCACCCTATGCCCAGCTCTCAGCAGCCACTCCTCGTGGGCGGGGGCGTGGCCTGGCAGGTGCCTGGGCTGGCTGGTGGTAGAATGAACACACAGGCCCAGCAGCTGCAGCCGGGCACCAGCAAGGGTGCAGAGGCCGCTGGGTGCTCTCAGGGTGGCGCCAGGACACGCCAGTGACAGCCATGCCTGCCTTGTCCAGGAGCCTGCTCCATGCAGTGGAGCAAAATGGCTCCAGGCAGACCACTCTCTTGGGGGCACCGAGATCCGGCTGGAAGGCTGGCATAGGGTGGCTGTAGGCTGGACAGCGGCAGGAAGGGCCTAGCGGCAGGAGAGGGCACAGCCCCCAGTGCCCAGGGAGGTGGTGTCTGCGGGAGACGGGGGCTGTCCCCTGGGGCATGAAGGTGCAGGGTGAGGACAGACACAGCGCCCGCAGACACAGGAGTGGTGAGGGGGTTCAGGCAGCCCTGGGGGCCGGGGTGACCAGGGAGAAGCAGCGGAGGGGGCTGGGGCCGAGGCGGGGACTGCGAAGAGTTCGCAGCATGGGGCCACAGGGAGGCGAGGGACAGCCGAGGCTGGTGCTGGTGGCAGGTGGCAGCCGAGGGTCAGCAGTGGCCTGGGCAGGAGCCGGAGGGTGGTGGGAGTCCCGAGAAGTCAGGGGAGCATGGTTACAAAGGGGGTTGAGGGTTCTGGCCTCTGAGCCCCGGGGTATGGCTGAAGTGAGAGCAGCAGAATGGCGTCGAGCAAGAGAACCGTTGACCTTCTGTCCACCGGTCCACTGCAGGGACAGCCCAGCCCTCCCCCGTGGCTGCACAGGCCTGTGTTAGCCACAGCCCGCTGTGCTCCTAGGCGTGTCAGCCGGGAGCTGGACTGGCTGGGGGCAGCGGGGCAGGCCGGCACCCTGCTGTGGGATGCCCCAGCTGCTCTGTGAGGGGAAGGGGCCAGGTGAGTGCGAAGCAGGGGAAGGAGGCCCCAGACAGGGGTCTGAGAGAGGCTCAAGGCTGGCACGGCGGCACAGCGGGCCACCGGGGCCCCCAGCGTCCTGTTGAACTGGTTCAAGTCCCAGCTGCTCCACTTCTGATCCAGCTCCCTGCTCACCCACCTGGGAAGGTGGCGGAGGGGTGGGCCCAAGCAGCCTGGCCCAAGTCCCCAGGGTAGCAGGGGCCTGCCTGGTGCGTGTGACAACAGTTGGAACCCCCACACCCGTCTCTCCTGGGTCCGCTGGCAGGAGGGGGGGCTTTATGATGTTGAGTTGGTAAGGAGGGTCCTGTGGCCTTGCCAGCCCCGGGGTACCCACCTTGGCCCATGGCCACAAGGCTCCAGCCCCTGCCTCGGCTGTGTGCACGTGTGTGCTGTCACACATTGTGGTACCCCAGGGATTTGGGTCCAGCCTTCTCCCCTAAGCAAGACACAGCTGCTATTCGACCTGGGGCTCCCGGGCTGTCTGGAAGGCCCCATGCGCAGGCAGGCCACGTTCTGTGGTCACAGAAGGGAGTTGGGGTCCCCATCAGGACCTGCCTGGAGCAGACGGTCATTGGAGAAGGGCGGGGAGCTCTGGTGGGTGATGTTACAGGGGCCTGGAGCCCCCGGAACTCTGCCATTTTCCTGTGCCCTCCTGAGAGGCCCCCAGTGCCCTGTGCCACCACACTCAAGTGTGCAGATGCATGGGTGGGGCTGAGTTGCACCTTCCAGGTCCTGGGGGCCTCCCACACCCCAAGCTCACCCTCCTGCCTTGCAGTACGTCTCCCGGGGTCTGGGCCTTGACACCGTGGCCTTTGGGTACCTGCAGACCATCTTTGGGGTGATGCAGTTGCTGGGCGGACCCGTGTTCGGCAGGTACGTGAACCCACGTGTGGGTGAGGGAGGGACCTGGGCCAGCGCCGCTGACCACCCCCTGCTCCGCAGGTTCGCCGACCAGCGCGGGGCGCGCGCCGCCTTGTCGCTCTCCTTCCTGGCGGCCGCGGGGCTCTTCGCGCTGCTGGCCGCCGCCTGCAGCCCCGCGCTGCCCGGCGTCCTGCTGCTGTTCGCCTCGCGCCTGCCCGCGGCGCTCATGCACACCATGCCAGGTGGGCCGCGGCCATGTGGCGAGGTCGGGGTGCAGCGGCGTGGGCTGGGTGGGTCTGGCGGAGGGGCTGGGGGCGTGGGGAGCGGTCAGCCCGGCTCTCCGTGTCCGGCCCACAGCCGCCCAGATGGTCATCGCCGACCTGTCCCCACCCGAGAAGCGGCCCGAGGCCCTGGGCCGGCTGGGCCTCTGCTTGGGCGTGGGCATGATCCTGGGCTCCCTGCTCGGCGGGACCCTGAGCACCGCGTGCGGGTGAGTGGCCAGCAGAGGGCGCGATGCCCGCGCTCACTGCGCCTGGGCGTGGGCAGGGCTGGGGCACCTCAGTCCTCCGGGTCCCTCAGGCTGTTGGGAGACTTCAGCACAGGCCCTAGACTGTGGGCCGAGGGCAGGGAGTAGAGGATGGCCAGGCCAATGCTGGGCCGGGGCTGGACCCTACCAGCGGGGTGGCCTTGGCATGCACCGTCCCTTCCCAGAGCCACCAGAGGGGTCGGCTAGGACAGTGGCACGGGGTCCAGGGGAGGGGGGTGCAGGAGGCCCCGCCCAAGGCCAAGACCAGCTCAGGCTCCTGTGAGCAGGTGCGCCCCATTAAACGTCGGGTGCCCGTCCTCGGCCACCCCCCGACCAACGGGGTCCAGAACTCCACGCCATGGGGAGCAGGCCACCCTGTTGCAGCTAGGGGCTGCCCCAGGGTCCCCCTTCTGGCTCAGTCCTTTTCCACCCTCAGAGCCTCCCAGGCCCCACCATCTGTCATGTTAACAGGGAGCATACAGACCCTGAGAGCCTGGTCTGACACCGGCTGTGACCGGGGGGCAGCGGGGACATGGTGGGAGGCGACGGCGCAGCCAGCATGCCCCTACCCCCCTCTGCAGGCTGCAGTGTCCAGCCATTGCATGCCTCGCAGCCAGCCTGCTGGGGGTGGTCCTCAGCCTCACCTATATCCCGACCAGCACCAAAGGGGCCAGCTCCAACGTTCAGGCCACCCCACCAGGTACGGCCCCAGCAGGTACCCCCCGGGGTCCCTCTCCCAGCCTCCCCGCCAGGTACGGCCCAGGAGGTACCCCCCGGGGATCCTCTCCCAGCCTCCCCGCCAGGTACACCCCAGCAGGTACCCCCCGGGGTCCCTCTCCCAGCCTCCTTGCCAGGTACGCCCCAGCAGGTACCCCCCGGGGTCCCTCTCCCAGCCTCCCTGCCAGGTACACCCCAGCAGGTACCCCCCGGGGATCCTCTCCCAGCCTCCCCGCCAGGTACACCCCAGCAGGTACCCCCCGGGGATCCTCTCCCAGCCTCCCCGCCAGGTACACCCCAGCAGGTACCCCCCGGGGTCCCTCTCCCAGCCTCCTTGCCAGGTACGCCCCAGCAGGTACCCCCCCCCGGGGACCCTCTCCCAGCCTCCCCGCCAGGTACGTCCCAGCAGGTACCCCCCGGGGACCCTCTCCCAGCCTCCTTGCCAGGTACACCCCAACGGCCACTGTCCCAGGCCCAAGGTCATGGGGATGAGGGACTGGTGGTGGGTGGCTCCAGCCACGGGTCCCACGGCTCCCACACGCCCCACGGCTCCCACACGCCCCGTGGCTCCCACACGCCCCGTGGCTCCCATGGCGGCAGGGGCACCAGGGAGGGGCTTGGAGTCAAGGGCATCTCCAGCCTGAGTGTGTCCTGGTACCCCAGACGGCGCCCAGGCCAGTGTGTTTGACCTCAAGGCCATCGGCCGGCTGTTGCTGCTGCCCGGGGTCCTCCGAGTGTTCCTGGTCAGGGTGGTCTCCGGCTTCCCCTCAGGTGAGCTTGGGCCTGGGGTCACGGGGTGGCAGGTAGGTGTCAAGCACCCCCAACCCCGTGTTCTGGCTGACAGTGCCTGCAGAAACAGCCCAGACCCCGTGGCACCCAGGGCAGGTGCTCAACCCGGCTGCCCCTTCCGGCACCTCAGCGCTCACAGCCTCGAGCCCCGAGCCCCCAGCAGGGGGGGCTGGGAGCTCACAGTGCCCTTGCCCGCAGGGGTCTTCATGGTCATGTTCCCCATCATCTCCATGGACTTCTTCCAGCTGGATGCTGCGCAGGCCGGCTATCTCATGTCCTTCTCTGGGGTCCTGCAGATGGTGAGCAAGGGAGGGGTCCGGGGCCCGGCTGAGCTGAGGGTCCTGGGGTGGGTGGGGCTGCCTGCACAGGAGGGGCTGGGGGAACCCAGGGACTTGCTCTGGGGGGAAGTGGTCGGATGGCACCCAGTCGGCAGAACCGGTTTCCCCAGGCCAGACAGGAAGTGGGGAGAGGGGCTGGCCGAGTGCCAGGGGGCCCCAGCTGCCTCTGGGCTGCACTGACCCCCGGAGGGGCCTCAGCCAAGTCCAGCACTTCCTGCCTGGCAGTGCCTGGCATAGCAGCGAGATGGCCAGATAGGGAGGGCACCAGCCTGGGAGCTGCCCGAGGGCTGGACCTGACTGCCCAGGCTGTCCACTGTCATGGTGTCCCCAGAGCCCAGGGCATGGGCCCAGCGGGGTCCCTCTCCCCACCCCGGGAATTCTGCCCTGGCCGCCGCCCCGGGGCTGTGCATGGCAAAGGCCTGCTGGCAGAGGGGCCACACTTCACACCCTCCCATCTCGAGCAGCTGGTCCAGGGCGTGCTCATCGGGAGGCTGAGTCGGCACTTCTCGGAGGAAGCGCTGCTGCGGACCAGTGTGCTGGTCTTCATGCTGGTGGGCCTGGCCATGGTGAGCGTCCTCCCTGCCCGGCCCTGGGCCCTGCACCTGCCCACAGCGCCCCTCGGCGTCACGGGGGCGGGCAGCCCCCTCAGCCGCCGCCGTGTGCCCCTGCAGGCGTTCATGTCCACTGCGGTCCACTTCTGCCTGCTGATGCCCGGCTTCACCTTCAGTTTCTGCTTGCTCAGTGTGGTCACGGACAGCATGCTGACCAAGGCCGTGTCGCCCTCCGACACAGGTGGGCACCCTGCCTCCCAGCCCCGGGCCAGCCTCTGCTGAGCACTGCTGAGCCATGGCCATTGGCAGGGTTTCACTGCTGTACAAGGCAGCCGAGCAGCCACGAGGGAGGCAGTCTAGGGCTCCCTGGGCACTTTGGAGAGCGCTGTGTGACGTGGGCAGCATGGGCCTGGGTCACTTCTGGCAGGCACCGCCCCAGCGCGCAGGGCGCAGCCTGGGAACCGGACACAGAAGGCAGTAATTGTTCCTACTCTGGGGCGTGTGGGCAGTGGGAGAGGCCGCGGGCCAACTTGCCCACGCTGGGCCCGCCCCTGGGTGGGGCCCGGCTGGCCAGACTGCCCCAGACTGACCTGGGAGCTCAGCCCTCGGGGTGCCTGGGGCAGAGGGCGCCCCAGCTGTGGCCAGTGGCAGCTGGGGGAGCGTGGCCTTCCAGGCTGTGTGCTGGTTGACAACAGCCACCCATGGCGGGGGGAGTATATTTGGAGGGTGGCCGGGTCCCTGGGGAGAGCAGGGCTGGGGGACCCCTTGCGTGTTCCCTGAAGCCCTCGCCCTGGGAGTGCATCAGGGTGCCTTGGGGGCCGTCCCCACAGGCCCCTGGGATGTTGCTGTAGATGTGGGCGTGGGGAGCGGGAGGCTCCCCAGTGGCAGGCTCCCACATCCGGGCCCACCTGTGTGGCTTGCCGGCGGAAACTAGCAGCAGGTGGAACGGGTGGGCCCTTGGCAGAGGCCTGGTGTGCACTCCCACCCACCTGCCAACCCACAGGGACCATGCTGGGCCTGTGCGCGGCCGTGCACCCCCTGACCCGCACCCTGGGGCCCATGCTGGGCGGCCTGCTCTACCGCAGCTTGGGTGTCTCCGTCTTCGGCTACCTGCAGTTCACCGTCAACCTGCTGGTCCTCCTGCTGCTCTCACGGGCGCACGGGAAGGGGGACAAAGTCCACTGACTGCTGGCCCTGGGCGCGGCCAGGCAATAAAACTCCTGCCCACCCCCGCCTCGTTTCCGGCCTGATCTCTGGGCTCCACGTGTCTGCGCGCAAGCCGGGAGGGACGGGATGGAGAAGGGGGCTCCCAATGAGAGGGCGACAACTTTGGCCTGCTGCCAGGACTCCAGCGGCACCACCCACACAGGCCAGGCTCACTGGGGTCCTGCCAGAGGCTCCCGTGCCATGTCCCTCCCTGGCCTCCCCTCTTCAGAGGTGCCTGTGTGGGGTGGGAACTCTGAAGCCCTGCGGAGCAGCCCTCTGCCCGCCCGTGGCCTGCCCACTCACAGGTGGCCTCTGGCAAGTCTTTCCTCGCGCAAGCAGCGCCCACACCGAGGGCAGTGGCCTCGAGGGCTGCCGTGGCCAAGAACCAGCGACGGGGCAGGCAGCCAGCGGCCACAGCTTCCTTCGGGTCAGCTGCGGGACAGGTGGTGCGTGGGCGGAGGGGGCCGCTGGGCGGGACTCGCTTGGACCCCTGCTGAAGACGCACTCCTTCCCCACCCTGCCTTCCCGTGCCAACGTCAGGGCCAAGCGCTGGTAGAAAAGCCAAGTCCTTTATTCAGAGTGAGCACCCACCGATGCTACAAAACGACATCGGAACGCTCCGACTACAAACAACCGTGGAAATAAATACGCGGGTAATCCAATAAGTTAGTGCCCCGCACAGCGGGGCCTCGGGGTCCTGGGCCGCCGGGCCGGGAAGCGGCGGCCTCCTGGTCCTCGCGGCGGCCCTCGGGCGCCGGCCGGCAGGAGATGCTCGGGCTCCTGCCCGACGTGACCACTGCCGCCCGTCGGGCCTGACTCGTCCAGTGCGTGGCTCTGTGGGGGAGAGGGGTCGGTCAGGGAGCGCCGTGCGCGCGCGGCCCCGCACCCGCTCCCCGCCAGGGCTCGGGACTCACCGGCGCGGGCTCAGGGCGCGCGGGCCGTCCGGGCGTCGGGCTGCGCGGCGGGCGCGGCGCGCTCCTGCCGGCCGCGGAAGTCCTCGAGCGCGCGGCGGTTCTGGAAGTCGATGAGGGCCAGCGTGATGGCCGCGTTCCAGCAGCTCTCGCCGGCGCAGCGGAAGTCGATCTCCTTGCGGTCGGTGGTGACGATGGTGAAGTACACGTACTTGCCCGTGCGCTCCACGCAGTCCACCTTGAGGATGGAGTGAAAGCGCAGCTCCTTGGGGCGCGCGCCGGGGCCGGCGGGGAAGAGGCGGAGGCGGTCGGGGGTCAGCACGCCGCGCTTCTTCTTCCACAGCTGGAACAGGCTGTCGCTGCGCTTCTCCAGCTCGCCCTCGCGCAGCACCTCGCCGGGGGTCTTCATGGCGGCGGCGGCGGCGGCTCTGCGCCCCGCGGCCCCGGCGCGCCCTTTAGAGCGGTTCCGCCTGCGGCCCCGCCCCGCGAGGCCGCGCCCCTGGGCTCCCGGGGTCCCCCGGGCCGGCGCCCCGCCTGGCCACCCCGCCCGGCCACCCCGCCCGGCCCGCCGAGGAATGCGCTGCGGCCGGCGCCGCCCGCCGTGACTCATCCTCCGGGAAGCCCCGGGCGGCGAGACCCCGGAAGCCAGAACCCCCACCCGGCCCCGGGCGCGCGCGCCCCCAAATGCAGCCCAGGCCGCCCCGTCCCCGAGGGAGCTCGTCCTGAGAACCCACTCGGAGGCCGGCCTGGCCCCGGCGGATCCCCGGAGGCCCCCTCCCACAGCCCCGGCCTCGGTTTTCCCGTCTGTGCGAAGGATCCAGGAACTTGTGCTAGCGAGAGCGGGGTCCCCTTGGTGTCCCGAGCGGGGGTCGGAGCGGAGGGCGCGGCGCCCCCACGCCGGTCCAGGGGCTGCCCAAGGGCGGAGGGCAGCGGGCAGGTGACTCATCGCGGCCCTGGCAGGGCGGACGGGCGGCTTTCTTTGCTCCTCCTTGACGCAGCAGGCGGAGGCCAGGAGGCCGGGGCCAGCTCCTCCGGCTGCCAGGGCTGGGGGGTGAGGCTGAGGAGAGCGTGGGCCCGGGGACCCGGTGTTGCAGCAGCTCCTGGAGGTGACAGCCCAGCCAGACAGCAAGTCTCCCGGCCAGTCCACGGCAGCCGCAGGGCCAGACCCCGGGACCCGCTTCTAGAAAAAGCCGTCCAGATGGCAGCCACCAGTGGCCTGTGCCCGCAGGGTCCGAATTGGATGCCCGGAGGAGAAGACGGGACCCCATCTCAGCCTCGGCCAGGCAGGCTGCTGACCCGGGTCCTGGGGAGAGGCGGTGGGATGGGGGTGGGGGTGGGAGGGCAGGAAGCCTGGGGTGAGACAAGCCCCCCGCTCCAGTGTGCCTGTGAGTCCCCCAGGGACACAGTGGGTGCCCAAGGAGCAGGGGGGAGGCTGGTGAGGGTCAGGATGCGGCCCTGCCCCTGCATAGCCACTTGGGCGTCCCCACCCCCAGGGCATCCTGGGCTCCGGTGCCCTGGCAGCTTGGGAACAGGCGGGGGAGGGGCTGTGTCCAGGAGCCCCACGCCTGCATGGGCAGACGGGACGCCCCAGTGGACACTGCCTGGCCCCCATAGCCCACCACTGGGCCCAGCACTCCCGGTGTCCAGCCTCAGCCCTTCCCCAGTGGGAGCCGAATGCAGGGCATCCCGCCAGGACAGACCACCCCCCGGCAGCCATGGCCCTGCCAATGTGTCCACAGGGCCTGGGGGCTGCTGGTGAACTGGAGAGGGAAGTGCCCGGGCCAAAGTCGGGATGCCCTCAGCCCCGACTCCCAGGTCCTCCCCTCCCCCCACCAGCACAGGGAGGGCCTGGCTGTCAGCAGTGTGGGATTCCGGTGCCAGAGCCTAGCTGAGTGGAGGCAGAAGGCAGGCACCTGGCGATCCCAAATCCCCCAGGTGAGGTCACTTCCCCCTCAGGGCTCTGGCCCAGCCAGTCCAGCCAGCCAGGTAGGAAGTCAGTGTCACACCCTCTTCCTGTGGGTGGCACTGCCCAGGGACAGGCCCTAGGGTGCCCCACTCCCCTCCCTTCTTCCAGGCAGCCCTCCGATGGCTGGCCGAGTCTGGAGGAGCTAAGGGTCCCAGCCCCGAGGCCACCTGGCTGCAGCCTGGGTGAATGAATGAATGGACAGGTGCAGGGTGAGGCGCCAGGCCCTGCCCCGTGCACTTGGTCCCGCAGCCCCGCCTGCCCTGTACATGCCTCATTACACTCTGTCCCAGCTCAGCTTCTGCCCTGCCATCCAGGGGACCCCTGGACTGAGGGCCAGCCCCGTTCATGTGGCTGTGACGGTCTGGGAAGTGTGCCTGGGACGGCATGATACAGTCCCTCAGGCTCACGGTCCGCATCCCTCCGCATCCCTCCGAGTCAGCTCACTTCCCCTGCACTGTTAGAGCGGATACTGTAGCCACAGTCTCTCATTCTGTCATTCAACTGTAGCACTGACACTGTAAGTACAGCGGGACAAGGTCCAGCGTCCTGGGGTGTCTGAGCCTCACTGGGCGCACCTTCGACTTGAATGCTCCATTACAGATCCTCGACCTAAAACCGAAGAGAACATAGATTTGTCCTTTGGGGATTGGCTTATTTCACTGAGCAAAACTCTCTGGTTGGGACCGTTCTGTTGCAAAGCATGAATTTAATTCATTTGGATGCTAGGTCGCATTCCAGAGTAGACACGCGTCCGAGCTGTCCGAGCTGTCTCGTCTCTGCTGTAAACGCAGGACCGCAGGTCACTTTCTCACATGCAGACCAGTTCCTCTGGAAGTCTTCCAGATGGGAGAGCTGCGTCCTCGGAAGATCAACGTTCAATTTTGAGATTTCTTTTTCGGCCTCCGCTTCTTGAACTGAATCTAAACCATTTAATGATAAAAAAAATAATAGCCAATTATCCACTGAAAGGTGGGGGAAAACAGGAATGATTCGAAGCCGAGGGGACCTCCTCTGGGCGGGCGTGGCCCGTGACAGCGTGGCTCTGCGGGGCTCAGTGCTGGCGTCACGTGGGCACACTCCCCCCACCTCTCTCCCTCTGTGAAGGTGAGGGTTCCGTCGGCTGCTTCACTCCCGAAATGGCTGCAACGGCCAAGGCACAAGAGCCAGGAGCCTCCTCCAGGTCTCCCACGCAGGTGCAGGGTCCCAAGGCTTTGGGCCGTCCTCGACTGCCTTCCCAGGCCACAGGCAGGGAGCTGGATGGGAAGTGGGGCTGCCGGGATTAGAACCGGCGCCCATACAGGATCCCACCATTTGGAGGTGGAATAACCTGTTGAACCATGGTGCCAGCTCCATCTGTTGCTTCAAGTCAGTCACTATTCTTTTAAGAAACAAGCTGGGAGCCCATCGGGGTGGGGATGAGGCCCAGCCCTGCCCTGAGCGGGGCGTGATCCCACGGACTTCCTCTGCACCACTCTGCTCTCGCACATACACTGAAAACGGGGCCAGGCCTGCTCCTGCACGACACCCTGTGCCCACCCTGCAGCCCACTGCCCTGGGATGGACTTCCAGCTGCCCACACACCTGCCAAGCTGGCCGCAGGACTGGCCACATGGGCTGCGGCTGCTGGGTCCCTGCAGCGGCAGTGGGGAGAGGCTTCCAGGAACCCCTCCCCAGAGGCAGGCCAATCACACTTCTGTGTAGGCCAGCTTGGTGGAGCCTGTGGCCCTGGGAGGGGAGACCCTGGCTTGAGGCAGAAGGTGTGGCTTCCTGAAGGACACTCCCACACAAAAAGGGGACTGGCAGCCAGGTGAAGCGGGGTCACCTAGCCGCTACCTGTACAGGCAGGCCCTGCAGCTCCACTTCCCACCCCGCTGTCTGCCGACAGTGCTGGGAAGGCAGGGGAGGGGACCCCAGTGCCGAGCCCCTGCACCCACGCTCCTGGCTCCCGAGCCACCTGGTGAACCAGATGACACGTGCTCTGCAATTCTTTTAAATACAATCTTTTTTTAAAAAAAATAAATTTTATGTTTTTAAAGACTTATTTTTATTGGGAAGTCAGATATACAGAGGAGGAGGAGACAGAAAGATCTTCCATCCGATTGTTCACTTCCCAAGTGAGCGCATCGGCCGGTGCTGTGCCGATCCGAAGCCAGGAGCCAGGAACCTCTTCCAGCTCTCCCACACAGGTGCAGGGTCCCAAGGCTTTGGGCCGTCCTCGACTGCCTTTCCAGGCCACGAGCAGGGAGCTGGATGGGAAGTGGAGCTGCCAGGATTAGAACCAGCACCCATGTGGGATCCTGGTGCGATCAAGACGAGGACCTTAGCCACTAGGCCACGCCACCAGGTTCCAAAAAAATAAATTTTATTTTTAAATGATTACATGGTTGATTTGGGTGGGAAGGATTAGGATTGAGGATTAAGGAAAATTGGGTGAATTCATTGCTTCCAAATTTGCTGTTTCTTCTTGTTGTTCCTGGGGCAAAAAGGGAACCCTTTCCACACGTGGCAGCCCCCAGGGATGAGGAACCACCACCTCGAACCGACCCAGGGTCTCAGTGCACATACTGAGGGTTCTGTCCAAGCTGATGTCGCCGAACCCAGGGTGAGGTCACCCTGCCAATACTGTCTCACAAAAGAACAGCAAAACAGAAGTGCAGACAGACAGAGGCAGGGGCTGCCTGGGCAGGGCCCTCCCTCCCCCAGGGCCAGCTCATCTGGGAGCTGCCCACAGCAGCCATCTTCCTGAGGGCAGGAAGGGTTGTCCCGGTCCTGGGCCAGCACCCCTGTGACCCAGGGCACACATCCCCCATGTCCCAACTGGCTGCCCTACACACAGCCCATCTCCAGCCTGCTCACGACAGGACCCCCTCCTGCCTCCAGCCCCCCACCAGGTCACACTTGCACGGACCCTTCTGTCGGCTCCAGGACGTTGTTCGGCAGCCCTGCTCCCTAGCCATGCCCAGGGCCTGCCAGCAGGCAACCCTGGCATGGCCTGAGGCCAAGGGTCACTGTCCCTACCCTACCAAACCAGAAATGGCTGCAGGGGGGCCCGTGCCTGGGCTCCGGGGTGGGGGGAGGTGCCTGCATCCCACTGCAGTGTTGGCTTCTTTGGCAGGGCAGGCAGGGTGGGTGGGCCTGTTGCGTTGCCATGGGAAGGAACATCCGGCCACCACCCTTGGGAGTGGTGAGTCAGTGGGGGCTGGGCTGGCTGGTGGCTGGCAGAGGTGACAGCCTGGCAGGCAGGGCACTACTGGAACTCCACAGTGCCTTGGCCTCACCCTCCTGTCACCTCTGGCCTGCGCCCAGCAGCTCTGCTCCCGGATGTGTGGGTGGGAGGTGGTGGGGCCACCAGCGGAAGCAGCCCGAACTCACCTGCTCCCAGGGAGAGGCCAGAGGCCGAAGTCCACACGCGCAGGTGGCTGGCAGGCGCCCAGCTGTGCACT